CCCCCATCCCCCCTTTTCTCTATAGGACCGGTGATTCTTGTCACTGGAAAGGCCGTGAGGATTATTAGAAGGCAGCAAGGAAACATCATTTAGAAAGCAAAGTACATATTGCACGTCCCCTGCCAAAATATACTGAAAATACAGTCCGGGGCAAAATTGTGTTTATGTTTAAAAAGCCTCATCGGTGGGTGGCTGTGTTTCTGCCGCAGAAATAAGTCACGCCATAGAATTTGAATAATTTCTCACTGTTCAGGTCAGGTATTCTGAAAAAAAAAACCCAAGATGATTACTCCTTTGGAAAGGAGTTGCAGCCAGATGGCTGCCAGGCCCAGAAACATGGGTCGCCATCTCTTAGTACCAAACAGAAACAGGATTTCGAGGGGAAGAAGGACTCTTCTCCACTGACTACTTCTGACCTGTGATAGCAGCACACCTGTGGGACTCCAAGAGGTTGGGGAGTTGAGTGACCCACTCACACCACTTTGTTAGGTCATGCTTTTTCCCTAGGTATGTCAGCGTATCAGCTAGTCATTATCAGCGATATAAACTTGTTTTTTAAGCCACACGAATAAGTTGCCAACTCTAGAATTCGAAGGGTAAGATTCAGATTCAGTCTGTGTGTAACTGCTTTACGGGAGCCTGAGCTTCACAGAGCAATGGCTTTTTATTATGCCATAGTAAAGATACAGCTTGATTCTGCTTTGATTACTCTGGCAAAATTTCTGCTGATTTCAATCGGGCAAGGACTTGGCCCATTGTCAAAACTCCTAGTATCTTTAATAAGAGCAATATTGATGTAGTGATGTTCTTGAATGCGTATATAACGTAGGATTAAGCCTTTCTGAATTTCCTTGCTTTTCTGAGTTAGAATCAGTCAGTGCCATGATAAGGTACATAGATTCAAATGATATGGTAGGTCAATTATTAGCTTAATGTTTTAATGTATATCCAAAGCGAAATGATCAATGAAAACAAAGCAGAGCCTGGATCCTGCTCCCATCGGAGCTGCCAGCTGGACTTTAGCGGTCCCGGAATTTAAAAATAGCTTTCATATAACACCGTTTTGAAAGCATATGCATATGCCTTGACTGAGACTGGGCTTGTTGGTGTGTAGTATTAATTGCAGGGTTTTTTTTCTGAAAATACAATGGCATATAGCCATGCAGTCGCATCTGTGTGTTGTGGACACCTGCTGTCACCTCTCTGCTAACAGCCCGGGCAGGCAGCTCTGCAGGCAGTTCTTTGCCTTGCCAGCACTATGCTCAGGAGTGGAAGAATGAAAGGGCAAATACGGTGTCTGGGGCCTGAACTCGGCAACCACTTGCGCTCCTGAAACATGCCCTTTTTTAACACTGGAAAATTGATGACTACGGTTGATTTTTGAATATGCAGTGTGCCACAGTCTGTAGTTTAGGGGGACGGCTGAACATAATGAGATACTATAGATTCCTCCTGTGAAAAAAATAATCTGGGAATACTTAAAGTGCATTTGGTACTTGTTTAAAAAAATACACTAGCGACAATCCCAATGAAATGAAGAGGGAATGATACAGTTGAGACATGGGGAGCGCAATCAATAACTGTTATTTGTAATGCGCACTTGCTCAAGAAGCTTTTTTATTTCATCATCCTTGTCAGTGAGGCTGAGCACTCACAGAAATAAAGACCGCTAACAATTCAGCCACAAATTTGTATCACATACACATATTTTTCTGAGATATAATGTGTGTAGAAGGATAAATATTGCACAATTTTATTCGGTGAAAGCGCCTTTTTAAAAATTACATGATTAGTTTAAAAAGTGCTTTTAAAAGATAACCAAATGCATGCACTTAATTGTACTCCATATTATTGAAGGTCTTTGAGAAAGGACTGAGGAGTATCAAATACGCTCTCTATTCAGACAGGCAGAGCATTCATGCAAGGACACTTTTATCACTGCAGACTGAGACATAATCAGCAATTGTCTTTTATTGACCGTGAGTTCAATCACCTGTAGTGGCTGAGCCTGAAATAGCACCGGAGTTGTAAGAAATACAGCGCTTGTGTAAGGATCTGGAAAGGTCTGACCTGGTGATACAAAATCCTAATATACTGTATCTGTACAGTATATCACAAATGTAATTCTACAAATTCATACCTAAGAAAAAACATTCTTCTATACAAAATCTTAACTTGCACTGTTATTAATTTGACAGTTCTAACTAATGTCTAGTGAGCAAATAACACTGTGTTGATAGGTCTTTTGTAATTTCAGCAAATGCTGAGCAAAAAAAAAAAGGGAATTACCTTGTTAGTATTGTTTTACTGATTGGCCATGTTTGCGTAAGCACTGTCTTTGACAACGCTGCCTTTCTACAGACCTGATCCTGAAGCCCTTATACAGACAAATCTGTAACAGAGCTGAGGGTTGTTGGGTTAGGTCTCATGACTGCAGTTAAGTACTGTCAGCAATTAAGGACAGTTTACCTAAATGAGCACTGTCATCTGAGATTCTTTTTCCCTGTGCTCAGGACAGGATAGGTGTGGTAGTTGTGGAAAAGTACACTTCCAGAATTCAATGGATTTAATTCCATTCTTATTCAATTATTTAATGTGATGGACGTGCATTAACTTCATGAGTTCTGGATTAGGTCTTTTAACGGGCTCATAACCCAAAATGCATACTGTGTGTGAGGTGGGGACCTCTAGTTTAGAATAGAATAGAATAGAATAGAATAGAAATTTCAGTTGGAAGAGACCTACAACAATCATCTAGTCCAACTGCCTGACCACTCCAGGGCGCTTCAGGGCACTTCATCTCGGTGGCTGTGGTCCACCACTGAAAGAGCAGTCACCAGAGCAATGGGTCCCACCTGCATCCCTGCAGCAGCCAGGCCAAGAGGCAGCGGGCAGCTCACCAGCATGGATCTGGCGGTGGGGTCTGCAAGGTGCACCAAACTGGGGCACCCATGACAAGCCAGAGGGACACCCCCACTGACAGCCGAGGGAGAAGGGCTGGTCGCATCCAAGGTTTATGTTGTGGTTGAATACAATGAGTTTGGTGGGTGTATTTGTAATTCTCGTTACTCCTTGCTGTTCAGCTCAGGTATTCCACTGAGGATTGTTCCTTTGAAGAGGAGATTCGTCCAGATGGCTACAATGTATATAAATCAAAAAAATACGGAATATCGGTGTCTTTGAGTAGTGCCAAGCAAAGACAGCAGTTCAAAGGGAAAGATTTTCTTCCACTATCTCACTTCTTACCTATGATCAACACTGTGCCCGTGGAGTCAACAGACTTTGGTGAATACGGTGATTACAGCCAGGCCTTCGAACCAGAGGTGTACTCCTCGCCTCTCGAAACGGACAGCATGGACCCCTTTGGCATCACCTCCAAACTGTCGCCGGTGAAGAGCCCCAGCTTTCAGAAATGACTCTGATCACACACACGTGTTTTTAAAGAAATATTGCAGAATACTGCAGGTTTTTTAGCTTTTCATGTAGTGGTATTTCGAACTTTTTTGTGTATTTCAGTACGGAGCCAGCCTTTTCCTTGCCATGTGTTGTACCTGTAAGAGATGAGTGCCCAGGGGCCATTCTGTAGTCTAAAGAATTGCCTAGCCATAGTTTTATTTGGAAAAGGATTAAATAAGAAAAGCTTAACAGCTTCATCAGAGTTCCTCCTTTACTGTGGTGATGATAAAATAATTACAATTTTTCTACATCAACTTCATTACCACGTATGTTCACCTGTTATTTCTGCTCATAGGAGCAAATGCAGAAAACCTTTTTTCTAGTCACAGGGAGGTTAATGATCTCTTAACTTCAGAGGCCTTAAAGACAAACATTTGGAACACAACACAATTAAGGAAAAACTAGCAAATGTGGTTACGTGAACTAGAGTTAATGCTGTTTCTTGAAAAGCTGCTGACAACATTCTGGGAAAACTTTCTATTGAAAGCATACCACTGAAAAAACAATTCTGCTTGTATATTGTGCTTTTTCTTCCCTTAGGAAATAAGGGAAGAAAGGGAAAAATTTCTTCCTTCCCTTATTGCTGAAGGGTACTTTGGAAAACTGGATCTTTGATTTCTTTTAAAGGCTAATTTATGTTCACTGTGGGATCAGCATCATCCACCGGAGAGTTCTCATTAACACTAGTGAGAATTCAGTGTGTGGTTGGAAGAGTGCACAGAACTAGCATTGATGTTCATCAAGTAGGGGAAGAGCAGTTCAAATTAGTGTTTAAATTAAGGTTCTGTTGTATGTAAGCATGCATGTCATTAGCAAACAGAGAGAAAGACTGAAAATGGATGATGTATAGGTCAAATCAATTGCAAAACAGGTTTTTGTGTTTAACCTTTAACCATCAGCAATTCTTTCAAGTCCCTTCCAGGCTTGATTCTGCATCCGTGGGAATCAGTGGAGAGACAGTTTAGTGACTTAAATGCCGCAGAACTGGGTCAGCCACGCCGTTCCTCTTGCAGGAGGGGATTAGGAGTACCTCGTGGCCAAAATGCAGATGTCTGATGTCTTCAGTTCTGTTCTCCTGTTGTAACAATTTGACGAAGGAATAACCAAGGTGAAACCAAAGAAAAAAGAAGGGAAAAAAAAGCAATGTGAGAAAAGGGTTCAGGGATTCTACTCATTTCCAAAGGTTCATTTATAATAGAGATTTCTATACAAAAAAGCTCTACTGGAAATACTGGTGTTCTTCTGACCTAGCACTTCATTGCCAATGCAATATTTATAATTAATTTATTGAATACATACATCTGTTTATTTTGTTACTGTTATTTATGCTCAAAATTCTATTTATATACTCTTGAAGGTGGGTTTTTTAGTTGTAACAAATTTTGTTAAGTTTTGTAATCATGAAATTTTAGCAAACAGCTTTTTAAATTTCTGTGCATTATCAGTAGTGTAATGTGTACATTTGCAATAAAAAAAAAAATCATCTCCAACACAGAAATCTAGCTGACTCTTTTGTCACTCCTTTAGTCTAGAGACTTCAAGGAGCGTTAGCAAACCGTGGCATCTGGCTCCACAGCAGCCGTGTGAAGATGGAGTCCCTTGTGAAGGTGGTGTAGTTCGGCTACAACAGACAAGGACACGGAGAGACAAAGGGGTTTTCCCAAAACTAGGCAATGAATGCCATGGCTGGAATTCGAGTCTTTCTGCTGCCAGTTACTGATGAGCTCCACGTGAAACAGCAAGTCTAAGTCTCTCTGTTACGGAAGGGTTTTGGAAACAGCTCATTAAATTTTGACCTTGGGATATGTGAAGGTCACTCCATCTAGTCCTAAGTTATTATTCTCTTAATACAACAAATGAGTAAAGCTCAGTTTCAAGCTGTGTGAGTGTGTCCTGATGTTTTCCTCCCATTCCTCATCATTCAATCATAGAATAGAATCATAGAATCATTTAGGTTGGAAAAGACCCTTAAGATCAAGTCCAACCGTTAACCTAGCACTGCCAAGTCCACCACTAAACCATGTCCCTAAGCACCACATCTACACGTCTTTTAAATGCCTCCAGGGAAGTGACTCAACCTCTTCCCTGGGCAGCCTGTTCCAATGCTTGATGACCCTTTCAGTGAAGAAATTTTTCCTATATCCAATCTAAACCTCCCCTGGCGCAACTTGAGGCCGTTTCCTCTTGTCCTATTGCTTGTCACTTGGGAGAAGAGACCGACCCCCACCTCGCTACAACCTCCTTTCAGGTAGCTGTAGATCTAGGCTGGCAAGTGCTGCCTGTAGACACCATCAGTTGTACTTTGTCTGCAATAAAGCAGTCATGGACTTGCATCTATTCTATACCCCAACCCTTTCATATTCCATTTATGTCATTAAACCCTGCTGTTCACGCTGCTCGCAGCCTTCGAAGTGCCGGACACTGAAAGGAGAGCTAACCCCCAGCTGCTCGGAGGCGGTGATTCCTCGGAGAGATGGAAAAATTCCCTATCAGGTGTGGTTTCTCTTATTCTTCTCCAGCTGCGCAAAATCGACCTGCAAAATGCAAAAAAATCCTGTGGGTGGAAGGCTGCTCCCTTTTAAAAATGGGAACCATACTCAACAGTGCAGCCAGGGAGAAAACTGGTTATTTTTGCCTGAAAAAGATGTCGATTTCTGGCAGGAAAAGAGACTGAACGTTTCCATTTGGAAATGCTGTGAGTCACAGGAATTGCAGATTTCTGGGCTGGCAAACATCTCCCGTGGTGTTTCCCATTCTCCTTTGTGCTGAGCCACTGCCACACATCCGGAGGGTTCCCGCTCCTCGTGTACTGGGAGATGTAGTCCTGATTTTCAAGCTGTTTTATTCCAAAAGTTTTCAGGCTTGGGGCATTCTGGTTTTCTGGTTTTTATTTCCAGTTTTGATCAGACACTATATTTTCTTTGAACATTAGATACCTTTTAAGACCTTTTTGTAAAAAATAAAAAAACAGAAAACAAAATAAAATAAATATGAACTGTTAAAGCTTGGTCAAAAACATCCACTTTTACTTTTCTGCTGAAAAAAATGCACAGTTTTGATGGGAAACACAGCAAATAACAGAGTTCAGAGGGTACACTGTTTAATTTAACCAGTGAGAGATTTTTTAAGTAGATGTAACATCGTTGTTCGTGAATATTGCTCAAGAGCGCAAAGAGGAGCAACCTTACATTTGCGAACAGCATCTTGAGCTCTCTAGTGACCCTACTTGCTGACACCTTTGGATTTGCATCTTCCACCAGCAGCACAACGTTTCTTACTGCAACAGCGTGGTTAGAGGTTGGTTCAATATTTATTCAGACGGAGGGAAGAATGCCAGGAGCTAAATTACCCACACCGCTTCCTGGAGCACTTTAGTTTTCCTTGGAGGTTTCCCATCCAAGCTCTGACCAGACCTGGCTATTTTGCTTATAAAATCTGACAAGATCACAGCTTGAGGTGGAAGGATTACTGGATCCCTACCATCAGACACCTGACTCGGTCAGGAACTTGGTGTGCAAAACCTCGAAACACCATTGCCTTTGGTCCTGTGGGAATGTAAACACCAGCACCACCGTTCACCATATACGTCCCGGTTGATCGTAGTTTCTCAAAGACAGTAGGACAATTGCAGTGCTTTCATTTGCAACAGTACATTTTACAACCCTAAAAGGTTTTTAAAGGTCAGGTGTCAAATGTCTCCTTGTGAAGTCTCAGTTAGAAGCTATGATGTGCAAATACGAGTTGTTAGAGTAGTGGGAGGGCTGTAGAAAGGAGATACTGGGCATCTCCATTTCCACTTCGGGGAAATGTAAAAAGCTATAAATCTTTCATTCAAGAGCCATAACATCAACTTTACCTCTGCTCAAAGCACTGAAACTATGTTCATGGAAAATTTGGGACCGCTCTTTCTGCTCTGCCAGTGTACTTTGTATATGAATGGAGAATGACACGATAAATTAAATAAATGTACTTTCTTTCCTCAAAAATGTATGGAAGCCAACCCTCCTTTTGGGCAGCTTCAGATGCGATGAAAGCAGAGATGCGTTTCCCTTGGAAGCGAATGGGAGTGCAAAAAAGACATCATTAGGTGAATTCGGGGTGAATTTGTGACAGCCCAGGAACACAGCAAGTTTATCAGGAACCCCGTTGCATGAGACTGATTGTTGAAGGCAAGCAAGAACGCCCCAAAATGAGACCAGTGTTTTGTAGTCTTCTTGCCAGGACATTATTAAATTTTCAGCGTTTTTCATCAATCCCACTACCTACTGAGATCAAAGAACTTGTTTTTCATTAACTTCCAAAGCAAGATTTAAATTGTAGTTATTAGCTTAGAGGAAACCTTCAGAGACACCTGATATTTCCACCGACATCAGTGAACAATGCTTGTTTGCTTGTGATTGTGTGGTTGTAGAGCGGGTAGGTATTCACACCTGGCAAACCTTCAGTGATTTCATGTGAGATCCAGTGATATCTACACTTTAAATTAATGCAGAAAACGAGCTGGCCGACTGACTACAGTCACTCTATTTAAATTGGTATAGACTGCTGCGATGGAGCATTTTTAATGAACTGTGATTGCTGCATCTGGTTAGCTAAACCTTTAGTAGCATGGCTTTATTTTCATTCTAATGTAGTTTTATTTTTTCTTTAGACCCATCTCTGGATTTTAAAGCTGTCTTTTCGAGTCCTCTGCCCCCCCGTGTTTGATTCGGAGGATAACAGACCCCCTGTACCCCTATTTGGATTGGCAGACTACTTGGTGTGCCCAGAGCCACATTTTCATTAAGTATCTGGAAAACAACAGTGTAAGTTAACATTAAAATAAATGCTTATAAGTAAGTATAAATGCTTTGTTTTACCAGTGTTGATCTGTAATAACAAATAAATGTCTTAATAAAGTAGTGGCACACTAAAGATTGGTTTGGGTATTTACATCAAAAACATTTACATTTTGGGTATA